GTAGCAGGATGGCTCAGCTAAAAAAAAAAAAAAAAATGCCTTTAGCCAGAAAAATCTAATGGACATTTATAAAACGCTGCACCCAACAACAGTGGAACACACGTTCAAGTGCCCATGGAACATATTCCAAGATAAACCATATCTTGGTCCATAAAACAAACCTCAAAAATTTTAAAAGAATTAAAGTCATACAGGGTGTATTCTTTACCATGATGGACTCAAAATAGAAATCAATGATACAAAGATAACAGGAAAATACCTAAACACTTGGAAACCAACTAACAGACTTCCAAATAACCTGTGGGTCAAAGAGGAAGTCTCAAGGGAAATTAAAAAGACAGAACTGAATGAAAACACAGCATCTCAGAATCTGTAGGACACTAAATTCATACAGAAGAGGAAAAATTTGAAATCAATAATCTAAGCTCCCACCTCAAGAACCTATGGGAAAAAAAGAGCAAAATAAACCCAGAGCAACAGAAAGAAACAATAATAAGAGCAAAAGTCAATAAAATTGAAAAGAGAAAAACGGTAAGAGAAGAACCAATGAAACAAAGAGCTGGCTCTTTGAAAAGGTGAAGAATATTGACAAACCTCTAGCAAAACAGATGGAAAAAAAGAGAAAAGTCATAAATTTCTAATACAGGAATGAAACAAGGGTCACTATAGACCCTGAAGACATCAGAAGGATAGATAATTAGGGAACACTTCCAACAATTCTACACTCATACATTTAACACCTTAGATAAAGTAGACCAATTCCTAGAAATATACAATGTACCAAAACTGACTCAAAAAGAAATAGAAAATCTGACTAGACCCCATATATAGTAAAGAGATTGAATCAGTTATCAAAAATCTCCCAACAAAGAAAAGCCCAGGACCAGGCAGCTTACACATAAAGAAGGACGAACACCTACTACTGTTCTCAAATTCTTCCAAAAAACTGAAGAGGCGGGAATACTTCCTAACTCGGAAGAGCCAAAATAATCTAAGGCTAGACGTACCCTGATACCAAAACCAGACAAAGATATTACAAGAAACGGAAACTACAGATCAATATTCCTTGTGAACACAGATATAAAAATCCTTAAGAAAATACCAGAAAACTGAATTCAGCAGCATACTGAAAGGATCAGACATCATGACCAAGTTGCAGTTATTCTCAGAATGCAGTGATGGTTCAACATCCAAAAATCAATCCATGCAATTGTGGTTCAGTGTGGTAAGACGGACTGACCACCTTAACAGAACGAAGAAAAAAATACATGGTCACCTCAAATGAGGCAAAACTGATCTGACATGATCCAACACCTTTTTATAATAAAAACACCACATATACTAGGAGCAGAAGGGACCTAAACATGACACAGAGCATCTAGGAAAAGCCCGCAGCCCAGATGAACGGTAAAAACCTGAAAGCTTCTCCTCTAAGATGAAGACCAAGACAAGGATGTCCCCCTTTGCCACTTTTATTCAACACAGTACTGGAAGTTCTGGCCAGAGCAATTAGGCAAAAATAAAGAAATTAAAACAAAATAAAAGGCATCCAAATAAAAAGGAAGAAAATTATCTCTGTTAGCAGATGAAGAATCCACAAAAATATTTGTCAGAGCTAATAAATGAATTCAGCAAAATTTCAGGATCTAAAAACCACACACGAAAACAATTCCATGACTGTACACTTGCAGCGAACAACCTAAAAGGAAAATTAAAAAACAACTTCATTTGTAACAGGAATAAATTTAACCAAGGAGGCGAAAGACGTGTACACTGGTAACTACTTAACGTTGCTCAGGGGAATTAAAGATCTAATAGAAACACATCCCATATTCATGGATCAGAATGCTTAATGTTATTAAGATGGCAGTTCCCCCCAAAGTGATCTACGGACTCCATGCAATCCCTACCAGAATCGCAAAGCACCCCCAAACAGAAATAGAAAAACCCATCCAAAAAATTCATACGGACTCGCAAGGAACCCCAAATAGGCAAAACCATCGTGGAAAAGAAGAACCACATTTGAAGGTGCCACATTTCCTGATTTCTAAGCTTATTATAATGCTATAGTAATAAACACTGGCATAGGATAGACACACAGACCAACGACTAGAACAGAGAACCCAGAAAAACCAATAGATTCTCGACAAAGGTGCCAAGCCATTCAGTGGTGCTGGGGACACCTGGTAGCCACATGCAAAGCCCGTCAAAAAGCTGCCACCCACGGCAGCAGGGATTTTACATAAAAGGAAACTGAGGCCCAGAGGGGTGGGGAACTGGTGTGGGGTCATGGCTCGAGTGGTAGGGATGGGGGTGAACTGGGGTCTGAGCCCCCACCCCAGGAACCCCTCTCAAGCCCACCTCCACGTGGCCTGGAAAGCCTCGCTGGGGGTTGGGGGGGGCCCTGTGGCCTCAGTGGGGGCAGGTCCTGGACGAGACCCACAGGACAAAAAGCTGAAGGCCTTCAGCCTGAGGAAGGACAGACAACATGGGCAGAGTTAACAGGTGGTGACAGACAGGGACATGCTGTCTGTGATTCCGAAGCCAAAGAATGACATCCAGAGGACACAAGAGCTTCTGCAAGGCAGGAGAAGCAGAGGACAGACACGGCCATGCAGGGGATGGAGAAATAAGGAAGCCCGGTGGGGACAGTGGAGCGAGGAGGGGCTGGCCGTGTGGGCCCACGGTGGCCAGTACGGGACACACGGGGAACTCCCAGCTCTGCCCCGGGAGAGGCTGGGGCAGGGACCCCGGCTGCAGTGAGCATCAGCGCCCAGGCCTAGTTTTAAACACCAGGGAAGGAGCCAGACTCCTAGGGGACCAGTGCGGGGCTGCAGCAGGGCCCCAGAAAAGGGACAGGGACAGGAGTGGACCGTAACCCACTGAGTCCACACCGATGCAAGTGCACACAGAGGTAAACTGGGGAAGAGAAAGTTCTTCCTTAAGAGTGCCACTCAGAAACACAGAAGGGACGATGGCGGGCAAAGTGGCTACTCTCGCACGGGCACGGAGCAGAGGACACACAGCGGGCAGCTGGGCCGGCATCACGTCCAGTGACCAGGGGAGCCCACCACTAGCTGGCTGTCGCGTCTCACACAAGGCCGCGTGCCGGAGTCCCTGGAGTGTAAGGACACAGCCTGCAGGGCCGTTCCGGAAGGAGCTTTAGTCCCAGCCTGCACTGTTCCCAGGAAGGGGGATGTGCCTCTTTAACGAGCCGGGCCTCCTGCAGCAAGGTTAACAATTCCGCTTGGTTCGTGGAATATTGCGGACTCTCTGGGGCCCGTTTGAGGATTCCTGCTCCAGGCGCCAGGTGCCGACTCAGCACTTCTCCGTTATTTAGAGAACAGTTAACCCTCTGCGGCCTGGCTGCCGCCTGCACCAAGCCCACCCGCGGGTCTGGCCTGCTCAGCGCTTTCCCATCCATAATCACCAGCTACTATCCATCATGTGACAGCCACGCCGAGAGGGGCGCAGTAAGCACTTCCTCTAACAGAGGAGAACTTAAATATCACTCTGGTATTTCACTGAAATTGGAGTACTTTACAATTATCACCCACGGCCTCTGTGGGGGTCCCACCCCACACACAGGGGCCCGGTGTCTGCCAGCTCCAGTCAGGTCCCCAGGCCTCGGTCTGGCAGCAGGAGGGCAAGGACGCGTGGAAGGGCTCTACCAACTGCAGAGGGTCGTGGTGCAGTCGTGCTCCCCTGGGATCCTTGCAGTGTGACGCAGGGGGGTGCCCTGCACCGACATGGGCTCCCCTTGCCCGAGGCCCAGCCCTGCCGCCCCGGGCACCTGCAGTGGAGGGTCCATGTCCTCAAATCCACTGGGGACCTCCAATGCAGACTGCAAGACCCTGTGGCAGGGGACAGGGTGGCAGCGGGCCCCTGGGTGGTGAGTAGGCTCCCTCTTGGGGTGCCAGGAACCAAAGAGGCCTGTCCAGGGGTCACAGCCAGGGCCACATTTGTCCATGCAGCCCCCGTCCCCCGCAGGCCCCCATGGGGACAGGGAGGAGTGATGGGACCTCATTAAGGAGGAAGGGGCCAGTTTGCTCAGCTGTCGGTAATTCCCACAGCTGACAGGTGAGGCGACAAGCGGCAATTAGGACCCCTCACCACTCAGTTCCTGAGTTCCCGTCGCCACCTGGAGGCTGCAGGTGCCAGGGCGGACAGAGGAGCCCGCAGGCCCAGGCTGGGCGCACCCTCACCTTTGCGCCCAGGGGGCAGTAGCCTTTGAGGAAGTCGGTGCAGACCTCCGCCTTGCGGGACACGTAGACGTGGCTGTAGGGACAGTTGCTGTTGCTGCAAACCCCCTTCAGGAAGTAGGAGCACACGGGCATCTGTGGGGAAAGGGTGGCAGTGAGGGTGGCAGACCCCCCGCAGCGCCCCGTTAGGCACCCCACACTTTACAGTGGAAACACCAGGACTCCAAGGCTGGGCAAGAGTCATACAGACTATGGCTGGAGACCCTTACCGCAGTCTTGCCTCAAGGAAGAAACGGACTTGGTGCGGACCAACGGGAGGGCAGCCAGCCGGAGCCAAGGGCACCTGGGGCCGGGCCAGGGGAGGGTTGCCCGCTGCTCAGTCAGACCCTGGTTTCTGCAGACGGTGTGGTCACCAGGGCAGAGCATGGCTGCCCTCGCACAGACAGGAGGAGGACACCGAGGCAGGGATGGCCACCAGAGTCCGACCCTGCTCTGAGCCCACCCAGCTTCCAGGCTACGGGACCATGCGCAACGGGCCAGGTGGGTCTGGAAATCCTGCAGAAGATTTTCTAGCTGCCTGATGGGTAGGCAGCTAGCAGTGTCCATGGGTTGGCGCCCTGGCCCGGCAGGGGACACATGGGCAGTGGGCTCGGCGGGCAGGGAGCCACCTGAGAGTAGCCCAATCCTGTGCACTGACTGCAGCTGGCACCGTGGAGGCTCCAGTGCGGGCAGCTGGCTCAGGGGAGACCTGGTCAGGGATACAGAGCAGGAGCCTGGGCAGGGCTGTGTGGCCTCAGCAGTCCCTGGCCCCCAGGTTGGGAGAGGGAGATGTGTAGCCCACCTCCTCCCCATTGGGGGAAACAGGCCTGAGGGCCAGCAGGAGGGCCTCTGATCTCGCCCGCCCCGAACCCTGCCCCCTCCCATAGGGAATGGGCCGGGCCACAAGGCTCCCCCCGCGGGTCTCATCCTCCTGGGGCCTGCAGGCCCTCTTCCTCCCTCCTCTGCTGGTCAGGCCCCCAGTGGGTCCCCACTGACTGGCCCTGGGCTCCTCGGTGCACTTTTCTGGGGGGCGGGTGAGGAGAAGCTGAGGAGATGGGAGAAAGCAGAGGAACAAAGGGTGATCTCTGTGCTGGAGAGTTTATTTTTAATTGTCTTTTAACTGCAGCACGGAGGGGAGAGGGGCCGGCATCTGCACACAGCGCCCTTAATGTGCTTTTGATCTAGAGCCCAAATTAGCTCTAATAAAAAGGGTAATAAAGCCAACTGTATGCCAAACGGAAGTCCTCCTCCTGTCAGCACGGCCACTATCAAGAGGAAACCGCATTCTCATTTCAATTAACCTTGTTTGCACCCGCCACGTCCGCACAAATAACAATAACGTTAATTCAGGGGCTGGCGCTGCGAGCTCATCAGACAGCCCAGCCCGGGCCAGGCGTGCGGCTCCGGCTTCAGAGCTCAGAGCTAATGGCCCTGAGACAGACTCGACGTGAATTTCCAAATTGCTCACAACAGAGTCTGGAGCTCTGTGAGAGAGAGAAATGCTGACTCGTCCCAAGTCCCTCAAGGGGAAAGCTGTGGCAGCAGCACTGCCTCTGCCGGGGGACGGGAGACGGGGTAGATGGGGTACTCGGCTCCTGGGCGCTCCAGTGCTGACCCCTGACCACACAGCTCCCAGCAGGTGCTGGGGCCACAGGCCCTGCCCTGGCTGCCCCCAAGGTGCGGGTCTGCATGATGGGGTCCACTCGCTCCCCTTGGCCCATGGCGTGGGGCCTGGGACCCAAGGGCCCAGCTGGTTGTCTCCGTTCTCCTGCGCCCTGTGGCCTTCAGCACACCGGCTCACAGATGACCCTCGCCAATGGTGGTGGAGGGGACACCTGTGGGCCAAGGCTGGGGACACGTAGCAGGGACTGGGGTGGAGGCCTCCCATGTGGCATGTGGACACCCTCCGGTTCAGCTGGGGTAAGAGGCAGCTGAATGGAACAGTCCCCATGTGGGGACGGAGGGGCAGAGCCTTTGGGCCACACCCCCACTCCTCAGAGAAAAGTTGCGGGTGCCTGGCGGGGACCTCGGGGGAGCCTGCCCAGGGAGCCTCTGGCTGGCATTCACCTTCTCCTTGGAGACCTGGTGGGAGAAGGGGCAGGTCCCATCTGTCTTCTTGCACGTGCCCCGGAGAAACCTGTGTATGCGAAGGAGAGGGTTTGAGGGGAGGGCAGCCGAGACGGGCAGCGGACCCTGCGCACACCCCACGCCAGCCCCCCAAGGCCCCTGGCCGGGCAGTCACCTGGTGCACACGGCCACCTTCTCAGGGTCATGGATGTAGGGGCAGAGCTCGCCGCGGTTGCACCGGCCGAAGCGATTGTAATACATGCAGTATTCCGGCTCCTTCCTGCGCCGCCTCTGCCTGGCCTGTCGGACGATGGCCAGACTGCGTTGCAGGGCCCGGCTGTGGACACATGGACACGTGAGGCGCGTGAGGCCCGGGCACACAGGGCCCTGTCCACACAACCCCAGGGACATACCTGGCCAAGGAGCGACTGCAGCTGCTGGCAAGGTCCAGTCGGCCTGTGGAGAGAAAGGACATAGGGCCGGGTCAGCCAGGCCACCCCCTGGGCTCTGCCCACTCGCCTGCGTGGCGCAGGACCCCCTGGCGTCCCCACCCTCAGCTCAGGCACTGCTTCCCTTCTCCTCAGACTGGGTCCCTGCCAGACCTGCTGGGGACACAGTGTTGAGGACACAGCGAAACCCCCCAACCCTGGTTCCGTGCAGGAGCGCATCTGTGGGGAGGAGGGTCAGGGCTCAGGGACCAGGTCCAGTTGCCGCACGGCGCCCCAAGGCCACACTGGTTGCTGGCCAGTGGGCTCACCACAAGGAAGGGGTCCCAGGAACAGTGTGGGGGGCTCCCCCCCTCCACCTGGAGCAGAGCCCCAGGATGTGGGCTCTGAGTGGGTCCTGGGGTTGCCACCTGGCTTTGCAGTGCCCAAGAACGGCTTTCCTGTATTTAAAGGGTTGTAAAATGGAAACCAAAACAAGCAGCAGGTGGCCGCAAAGCCTGGTGTCCTCTCCTCCTCACGCCTCGCTCTGCAGGGAGCAGCATTCGCCGAGGTCCCTGGAGGCCCTGAAGGTGTGTCTGGCTCCTAGGCCATGGGGGGTGCCCGTAGCACCCGCTCCTCAAAACTGTGGCGGTGCCTCAGGATATGCCTCAAAACCCAGGTGCAGAGACCAAGCAAGGCGCCTTGTCCCTGAGGTCACCAACTGTGGCCCAGCGGGAAGCTGCCCACGAAGCAGCCGGTGGTGTCAGGAGGGAGCAGCAGGGACACTCCCAGCCAGGGCAGCTGTGTTTTGGGTTCTCCAGTCCTAAGCGGGTGGGAGGTGTCCGGGCTCACAGAGCCCCTGCCTGCGACCCCCCAGGACCTGGGAGGGCAGGGCACAGCAAGCACCTGCTCAGGACAGCCACCCAGGCCCCCCAGCTTGTCACATGCACATGTCCCTCCCCAGACCAGATCCAATTTCCCACAGGCAACTGCTGAAATGGATCCGGTGGTAGGAGACAGAAGTGACATCACTCAGAAATTCTAGGGATCTGAGGCGATGACAAAGCACCCAGGCTTTAAAGGGACGTCCCCAAGTTGCTGGCCCTGAGCTGCCCCATCAGGGCCGCATGGGAGGCCCAGGCAGGTGCCCTCCTGCCACCTGCAGGTCCCTGGCCCCACCCTCCCCAGGGCGACCTCTCCAGGGCCCATCAGCTCCGTCCCATCTCCTGAGCTCCAGACCCGGTCACACAACTGCTCTGACACGGCCTGCCAAGCCCGAACTCCCTTGCTCCCCACAGGTTGGACCTCAGACGCCCCTTTTCCACATCCGCCCACTGCTAAGTCCTGACTGCCCCTCTCTGGGCCGGGCTGTCACTGGCCGCTGGAGCTACCCCTCTGCCAGTGTCTGTCCCTCTCTCAGCCTCAGTCTCAAGTTTAAAAGGGGTGATTCCAGGGCTGAGCAGCGGGACCTCCAGAGAAAGGGGGGCCCAGGCTGGTTATGGTGCAGGGGGCTGAAGAGTGGACCGAGGGGCCTCAGGGCATGAAGGGCTGGCAGGAAGGGGCTCTCAGGGCCCTAGGCCACAGTGGAGTCCCGGTTCCCAGGCCGGGGACGCCAGTCCTGAGGGGGCAGCGGGGGCTGGTCCAGGTGGCACATGGTACCATACACCTGCCAGCCAGCGGGTGACAGAGTGCAATGTGATAGCTGTTGGTGAGCGTGGTTCCCGGGCTGTCACCCAGGCTGCTGGTGACGCTCTGGCGCCATCTGCTCCTGCCAGGGACTGCTGTTATCACGTGTCCGGCCTGTCAGACCGAGCCCCGGCCTGGCCTCTGAGGGGACAGGTTGACTCCCCTTTCCACTTTCTACTCTTAAAAAGACACCAGCAGGGCTTCACGGTGGGAGTTCCAGGCACCTTTTCAAATGCTTTGCAGTGTTAAAAAATGCACGTCAAGTAGCTGGCTTAAAGGGGAGGAGGGCTGAGAGGTGCTGAAAAGTTCAGCTGAAACTCACAACTTGGGAGGGGAGGCGCTGAGCCTTCAGAGAACTTGCACTTCCCAGGGATCTTCCTAAAATAGCTGCAACAGCCACACCCCCAAGTCACCCTGGGGGAAGACTGACAAGGGGTCTGGGCTGACAAGGAGCCCCAGAAGGGGCACGTGGGAGGAAGGGAGGGAGGCAGTGGGCGGGGCCTTGGCGTTGGCTGCAGACAGCTGACAGGCCCTCTGAGGGTGGGGCTGGCACGTCACAGGTCACAGATGAGGCCACACAGCACACAGACCCCATAACCTGCCACGTGGGGACCAGTAGCAGCAGGGAGCCTTGCTCTGGGGCCTGGGGGCCAGCCCAGCGAGGTGGCTCTGGCAGATGGACCGGGGCTCCTGCTCACCACGGGGATGGCAGGCTGTTGGGCCAGAGGGGGGCTGAGGTCCGCCCACTGGAAAGTGTGGCCCCAGCCAGGGGCGGATGTGTCCTGAGAGGCCCAGGCAGCCAGGAGGGACCAGGAGGAGAGGACAGATCCAGGAGGGCTGCAGTCAGAGCTGCGCTGACACCCGAGGAGAAAACCTCTCTTTAATCCCTCTTTACTAAGTGGGTCGCAGGTCAGTGGCACTGCGGTGGCGGCGGGGGCAGCCCATCCTCCTCAGCGAGGACCTGGCCAGCCAGAGGGGTCCAGGCTGCTGTGCAGGCAGGGTGGGCGGGGCCTCAGGGCTGTGGCTCTGCCCTGTCCCCGCTGTGGTCTGTGTGCCAAGTCCCACCCCGCTGCCCTGGCTGGCCAGCCCTAGGACTGCCCCTCAGCGGCTACTAAGGCTGGTCAGCAGGGTGGCAGCTGTAGCCTGCAGGGGCAGGTCGGCCTGGGACCCCGCCCTCAGGCCCCTGTCCCCCTCACTTCTTGCCTGACGGCTGGAGCCCGGGCAGGAGGGGTGGGAAGGCCGGGAGGGCTGTGCCCAGGGAGTAGGAAGGGGGTTCTGCAGAGCTCAGCATGTGGAAGGGTGGAGGGCAGTGGGCTCCAGTGAGAGGCACCGCCCCTCCTGCTCTGACTGCCACCCCCTGGCAGCAGCCTGGGCTCTCCCCAGGGCTGGACTCGGGGCCCAACGAGGGCGGCTCTAACTCGGCCCCATGCCGACGTTTGTGAGGAGGTGTGAGTGCAAACCAGCCTCCTCTTCTCAGCCTCCCACCATGGACGCCAGGGCAGAAGAGGGGACAGAGAAGTGAGAAGAGGTGGTGGGTACAGCCCTCGCCCACGGTCCACCCAGCCCATTTGGGCAGCAGGTCCCCACCAGCACCGGGATGGCCTAAAGCCACATTCTGAACCTGGGCCCCTGCATGTGGACGGTACGAGTACCAGAGCGGCCAGTGTCTGGCTAGGGAGGAGTCCCTAGGACCCAGACCGTGGGGCTGACATGGGTGGGTGGTGGCCATTGGCATGCCTGGTGGAGGAGACACCAGCAGACAGGGCATCCCATCCGTTGGCCAGTAAGCTCCACCCAGCCCCAAGCGAGGACAACGGGGATCAGAGCCTGGGTCCTGCCAGTCAGCCAGGTCAGCTATGGGGGTTGGGGTAGGACAACCAGGTGTGCCCTTCACCAAGGAGGCCCCCGGAGAGGCTGGGGCCAGTGGGTTCCCCCCACACAAGGCCAACTGAAACACTGCAGAGCACCACCCACAAGCCTCCGTGGCCGGTCCGCCTGGCACACGGCCTGGCTGTGGCTAGCCCTGTAAAGGGCCTGCTCAGTGGGCACGGCGGGTGGCGAGGGGCTCTGCTTTGCCTGGGAGGCAGTGGGTGGAGGAGGGGTCTGAGGCGCTGCCCTCCGTGATGCCAATGCGTGGGACCCCACAGACCACAAGCGCCAATGCCATGGCCTTCGAGCTCTGGGGGTCAGAGGGGGGATGGCATGGCCCACAGGCGTCATGCCCAAGGGGCGGAGCCTCGAGAGGACCTGTGAGGAGGCCTGCCTAGCGCTCTGCACCTGCTCCCCTCCAACAAGGGGGCACGGAGGCCAAGGCAGGAAGGTCCTGGGAGGTCCCATAGCCCAGCCCTGGGGAAGGAATGGGGAAACTGAGGCACACAGGCAGGGAGGGGCCGTGGCGTCTCCTGGGGAGCTCCCTGCCTGGAGGGGGGCGGCTGGGTACCCTGAGTCCAACAGACAGAGGCTCTGGGAGCCCAGCTGGGCAGGGGCTTTGGGGGGCACTCAGGCATCTCCCTCCTGCCCCTCTGGCATGGGGCGTGGGGCTGGGGCTGGGGAGAGCCGGGCCTCTGCGATCCCACAGCACCCGCAACCTTGCCCTTTTTTATGTGACAGCAAAGGAAGGGGGTGGAATTGGACTGAGACCAAATATTTTTCTAGTTAATTTGTACAATAAGCGAGTCCAAAGCATTTCCTCCTCTTCAGCCTGTTTCCCCGTGCTGCGGGGCATGCGGGGCGGCGGCAGCCACCTCCAGACACAGTCGGGAGGCGTTGCCAATGCGATTCCAGCACCGCGGCCCCAGGTGCTCGCTCGCCTGGCCATGTTTACCATGCCTGGCTCATCTCCTTTGTCCAGGAGCGAACACGGAAAATCAGGGGCCGCTCAGCCAAGCGCGAGCTTCGCCGACGGGAGCCTTCCCCGGGGACACAGGGGCTGTGGGGCCTCCCCACCGGTGCCCTGGCCGCCGTGTCAGCGCAGCGACTCCGCACTATGGGCACTGCAGTGATGGGGAGCGCCCGGGGCCCCCAGGAGCCTCACCTGTGCGCAGAAGGGGCCTGCTGCCCCCGTCGCCGCCAGGCCGGCCACAGGTCTTGGAGAGCTTGTTGGCCGACACACTGTAGAGGACACCGCCAATGCAGCGGTAGCCTTTGTCCCGCCACCGGGGGGAGCCGGCCTGGGGTCTCCCGCCCCCGTTGGCAGGGCGCGGGCGGTTCGGCCCCGGGGACCTGTAGACAGAAAAATGCCGGTCAGCCCAGGTCAGCCCAGCCCCGAGGACCACAGTCAGGAGACCTCTGTTCCCCTGTCCCCCCACCCCCGCCCCCAGGCATAGGAGGTGGCGCCCCCCAGCCCTGCCAACCAGACTGAGACCTCATGAGCCCCTGAAGGGACAAGCCTCCCCCTCCAACAGGCACACCTCTGGGACCTGACCCGACGCCTCCACTTATAGATGCCCCCCTGTAGACACCACTGCGTCTGCAGTGGGGTCAGCCGAAAGCCCCCAGGCTCAGGGCTGACTGGGTGGCACCAACTGGGGCCCTGCAGCTGTCCTGGCCAACACACTTGCCCAGCAATCATGGGGGCAGGCTGCCACTGAGCCCAAGGGGCCAGCCAGCCTCAGGAGTCCAGGGGACATGGGGTTTCCCCCTCAGAACACAAGTCAACAGTGAATTGTTTGTGCAAAATGAGCTGAACTCTGGACTAGCTCAGACTCTGCTTAGAGCCCCCTGCGCCCCCTGGCAAAGGCCTGCCAGCTGTCCCACATGCATACTGCCTCTTCCCAGGGATGCTCCCAGCAGGAGGGCGGGCGTGAGGTCGTCCTCTAGGCCCAGCAGAGAACCTTAACAGGCAGGGTGCGCTCCTGCTGGGGCCTGTCCTTGGGGGCAGGGGTCCCCACCGCTCTGTGGGCCCTCCCCTGGGAAGCACATGGACCCCCAACTCCACTTGGGCAGCCGTCCAGGGCCAGGGAGGGCTCTGAGGAGTCAGGAGGGGACGGGCAGCCCTGGGGCGTCCTAGCGCACAGCCGCTCACGGCGGGGTCACAGGCACGAAGGTGCCAGGTAAGGCAGCTCTGCGTGGGCTGGGCCGCCACCCCCACCGTTCAGTGCCGGCTGCTGCCCCTCTAGGCCTCAGTCTCTCCGTAATTCTCACCAGCCTGCAGCCTCCAAGGGCCCGTTAGAGAAAGAACGTGTGCAAGTGAACTGCGCTCGGGGACCCAAAGCTGCGGTGTAAGTACAAACGCGGGCGGAAGCGTCCAGGGGGACCACCCGCCCGAAAGCACTTAACCCAGTTTCCCTTAATTAAAATTCAAATTCACAGACACCAATCTTGGAGGGAACAAGTCCCACCAAGGGGCCCGGCCCGGCCACCTGGCCCAGGCTGACCATGCCCCACAGGCTCCAGCCACCCCACACAGGGCCCTTTGGGCAGGAGGGCGGTGTGGGCGGGCACCCTCTGGGGGAGGCAGCCAGACCACCAGGCTCTCCTCAGACCTTGGGGCATCTGAGGCCAGGCCAAGCTGTGAGGAGGGAGCAGCTGTGGAGCCCTGTCAGCCCTGGGGGCTGTGGCCACTGTCCTCAGGGTACAGCTCAGCCTGAATCTGAACCCACACAGGCCGTGGCCGCCGCAGCTCACTCACCCCGGAGCCCTCAGTGGTCTGACCCCACCAGCCCCTGAACGAACTCTGGTTCTCATCACGGAGTGGCCAGACCCCCAAGACTCCTGACAGGCTTTTCTTGCTGAGAACGGGCTGCCGCTTGCCAGAAATAAGAAGACCGCTCTAGCTGCCTCTTCCTTTGGGAGGACCCCAGCCCTCCCCTCTGTTTTCACCACGAAGCAGGAGGACAGGTGACCAACCAGACCCATGTCCCACCTCTCTGCCTAGGCCCAGTGTCCAGACGCCCTGGAGAAGATGGGAGGAGGAAGCGGGGCCCAGACGCCCTGGGAGCCCAGCCTTCAAGAGGTGTGCACGCGTGCTCCTGGCTGAGGCCAGACGGGGACAGACCACCCCCAGGTGGCATCCTCAGAAGTCACTGGAGGCTTTAGGGCAGCGGGCCCACCCCGCTGCTGGGGCAGGCCACGGCCGCCCCTCACGCAGAAGCACTGGCTCAGTCTGTGTTTACAGCGAAAAGCCCACCTCAGGTGACCCTTCTTTTCCAGGACACTGTTGCTTACTCCCACAGTTACACTTAAGGGTGATGGTCCCCTTTTCCCACCCAAAACACCACACCCCTGGGTTCTGCTGGCAATTACAGGGGACCGCAGGCCATCTGGGAGGGGTGGAGGCCTGTGCACATGTACGTGCCCAAGGGTGCAGGGCTTTGGCCCCAGAAACAGCCTGGGACCCCCAGCCTCCAGGGCACCAGAAAACCCTGGGCGCCTCAGTGGGAGAAACTACACCCCCCCACACACGCACACACAAGGTGTCATGGGGGAGGTGACGCACCCACAGAACTGGGCTGGGCCGGCCAGGGCCTCGGGAGGAGCCCACCTGCCCACGGGAACGGGCCCGGCCTGCAGGTGTCCCCATCACCCTGGCTGGGCCCGTGGCTGGGTGGGTGGGTGCTGGGCGGGTGGGGACTGGAATGGTGAGCTGGGGGCACGCGCCCCAAACGCCCGGCAGCTTCCCACTGCCGTGGGTGTCACAGCTCTGCAGTAAATTGTTACCCTAATGGACAGACAGCCTTTGGAAACGGCCTGTACTGAGAAGAGGGGATAAAATTAATGAGATAATAGCAGGGCCAAGGACCCGGAGAACGCTTCTGCCCTCGCGACGACGGCCCTGCAATCCCTTTCCTACAACAGGAGCCTTGGATCTAAAGGTTTCTCCGGCCGGCCGGCAGGCCCACGCCGCCAGGAAATTTCATTAACGCTGGAAAATAGGAAAGGTATTAAGCGTGGGTAATGAAGGCGGGGCGAGCGGTGCCTTCAGATGGCCCTCTCTCCCGCCTTTGTAATGGGAGGCATGAACTCTCTCTTCAAATCCATTTCTAATCCATTTGAAATACTACAGCAAATTATCTTTCCTTCAGCCCGAAAGCGGCCAGCCAATTTACTCCGAATAGCAGTGACAATGCCCCGGGATTTATCACCATAACCTTGACTACACCAGGGTGAGGGCTGGGCCTCCCCTCACCCCCCCCCCGGGGGGGCACAAAGGACAGGTGGGGGGAGATAACGTTTTAAATGAAAAGCGGTGGTAATGGGGAGAAGACACACAATGCCACAAAAGTGGGTTTCGAGGAAAAGCTGCCGTCCCCAGTCTGCTGCACGGCCAGCAGCTGGGAGTTCCCGGTGCAAGGCCATCCCAGGGTGTGGAGGGTGACAGTGGGGCCAGCACATGCTGGGCTGGTGAAAGATCCCAGGGAAAAGGAACCCCAAGGAGGGCATGGCCAGCACAGGCGGAGGCTGTCCCTGGGAAGCGGGGGCCAGTGTGGGTGTGCCCGCTCTGGCAGGCCCGCCCTGGACACCCCAGCGCCCTGAGCCCTGAGCCACCACCCAGGCAGGTCCATGCAGTCCCAACACTGCGCAGGGCACCTCTGCCCACTACACAGGCTGCACAGCTGAGATGGACCCCCCAAGGCGTCCGCAGCTACGGAGCCTGGCAGCAAGGACACAGGTACGCACACGAGAAGCCGACAGGCCGGCCGGCCCCTGAACCCGCAGGCACACGGGGCACACACACCATTCACCCGTGACAGGACCTGAGAAGCCTTTCCAAGGTCCGGCTGCTCACCCACCCCACCCTGGGTGCTGCGCCCGGTGGGCTGCCTCCCCTGCACCCCAGACCCTGGGCACATCAGATGAGGGCTGGGGGAGGGCTGCTCCTGACCAAGGGCAGACTCAGGGGCAGGAGGGCCATGAGGGGAGGAGGTAGCCTCGCCCCAGGGGCCCCGGGGCAGCCTTCAGACAGACTTGGGACGCCCCAGGCAGGGCGGGTGCCCCACCTCCTGACCAGGGGCAGCCGCCTTTCAACACACACCGCCTCGGCAGCCCGGCTTTTCCTCCGCTGTCATGGCTGAGGGGACCTCAGCCCCCCACTCTGTCTATTCAATGCTGAGGCTTTCCAAGGCCTTTCAGAGCAGTGTGCCCTGAGGCCAGCCAGGCACACGTCCTATGGACCGGAGTGGGGCTGGGCACAGACCTTCATACTGAGCAAGAAGGTGCTGTTTCTTGCAGTGAAGCACCTTGGGCACGGGTCTGTGGGTGGGGGGACGCAGGGCGGGTGACCCCGAGGGCTGGGGCAGGGTCAGCGTGTGGCCGGGCCGCCCAGGCAGTGGTGCCCGGGAGGGAGGCGGGCACGCTGGCTGGGGAGCAGAGAAAACAACCGGGGAGGCAGTTCTCAGGAAATGGAGCACGACTGCGAAGCTGCAAGGCGAGCAGGGACTGCGCCGTCAGCAGAAGGGCGGCAGGCAGCTCTGCACAGCAAATTCCAAGTAGGTCAGGCCCTGCGCCACCGTGACAGGCTGCACACTGCTTAGTGGGCTTTCCACAGAATCGCTGACGGGCCACCGCACACCGCCTGCGAGGGGCGAGCCCCAGCCCCGGCCCCGGCTCCGGCTCCAGCTCCTGCCCCAACCCCGGCTCCGGCACCAGCCCCAGGCCCCAGCCCCGGCTCCTGCCCCGGCCTCCTGCTCCGTGCCCCTAGACCCCCCTGCCCTGGGCTGCTGCAGCCTGTGCCCACTCTGCCCGGCAGGGATGAAGCTCCAGCCCCCATGGTAGAGCACAGCTCCCCTCAGACACTCCCAGGTCAGGGCCAGTGCAGGACAGGGCCCCTCACCTCAGGAGCCCACCCCCCCAGGCACACTGGGTGGTCTGTAGGGTGGTTCTGGGTGGAGGCAGATGGAGTTCCTCAGGTGAGCAGGGCCAGCAGGGTGGGAGGTGAGGGAGAGCCAAAGGCAGGTGTGCCACGCTCCACAGGGGTCTAAGAAGCGGGGCTCAGGCGCCAGTGACACAGCAGATGGTGAAGGCCTCACGGGACCGTGGCCGCCTGACCTCACAGGACCCTCCTCAAACCAGACTCGCTCCTGGGCTGGGCACCACGCCTGCTGGGGCCAAGCACCCTGCAGCCATTCCCGCAGCGGCCTGGCTCTCTGCACCCACCTTCCTGAGGTGAGCAGGTGGGCCTGGGAGGACATGGGGGCTGTGTGACCTTGGGGGGCAAGGAGAGGACGACCCTGGAGAGGGGCTGAGCACCTGAATGAAACTGGAGGGCGAGGTGGGGTGCAGGCAGGTCACCTGACGCCTTTGTCAGGTGCTGCTCCCTCCCGAGGGGCCCCCACCATCTCTTCCTGGTAATGAACAGAAATGACAGGCGTCCTGGCCAGCTGGCGCGCTGGTGGGCGACACTGCTTGTGCTGCGTCCGTCTGTTACAAACACTGCAACTCCATCATGAGGGGCTGGGCTATGTCATGTGCTCACATCTATTCAATTGGTATTTCGATCAATGGATGCATTACAAGCTTTCCCTTTAAGAGCCTAATAAACAACAAGATGGAAAGTAAAATTCTCCATAAAATGACACTTTTAAAAATCCATTTCAGCTGAAACGAGTGGTGTTTTGTATGTTAGCTGCAAACACAGGCATTATTGGGCCTTAACAGCCCCACTTAGGAGGGCCGAGTTCAGCTTGAGGGGCAGAGGGCTGGGGGTCTAGGGCTGGGGTGGGGCCCAGGTTTCACCCTCCAGGCTGGGCTGTCGGCCCAGGACCCCCTCGGCATGTGACAGCTGGTGAGAGGCAGGGGCGGGGCGGGGGGACCCAGCCCAGAGAGCACCCTGCTGAGCCCTCTGCTCCAAGGGACAGGGGTCGTTAAGGCTCCATGGAAAAGCTTGGTCACCCTGACCTCTGGCGGCAGGTGTCTCTCATTGACTGGGTGACCTGTGTCGGAGCCTGAGCCCTCACACTCTCCACTGTCAGCCGAGGTACCCGCCCCTCCCTCGCTGGTCCCGGTGCCTACCCACTGCTCTGGGTTAGAGGGCCTGGCCTGCACCTGGACTCGTCAGCTCTGTCTGTGCCGTGCCCCTCACCCTCGGCCACACTGGCCTATTTCCAGCCTCATGGCAACAGCCACTATCTGCTCTGCTCAGGCCTGCCTCCACCTGGAGTAGCACCCCTTTGGTGACCCCAAAGATATTCACACATGTGCCCTAGTCCCTGATGTGGCCCAGCTGAGGGACACTGGGCAGTCCAAGCCAGGGGTGTGTGACAAAGTAGAAACATAACAAGACCCAGAATGCCACGAGCTGGTCACCATGTCACCACTACCTAAAGAGATTCACAAAGTGAGGGGCTGGTGAGATGTCTCCTCCTGCGATCCCAAAGCAATAGCAGCATGGCTCCCTGGAACAGGGGTGGTGTCCTCAGTGAGCCGGGGATGGTGGCATCCATGCCAATACCAGGGTAGGGTCCATGAGCTCAATAGCAAGAGGTCCTGAGAGTCTGGGGGGCAGGCAGCTGACTGCCAGTGAACACACAGGAGTGTCAGCAGGCGTGCAAGGCTCTAGCAGCAAGACGCAAGACGGGACAAGGAAAAGCTCCCCCCATGTAAACAGGGAAACGCCACAGCAGGTGTCCCGGGCCTGCAGAATCCACAGGACACCTGCAGCTTCGAAGACAGGAGGAAGGGGCGGCGAGAAGAATAAAACGCAGCTTTGTTGGTTGGAGGCAAGTTGGCTGGGGAAGGCTGAGAAACCAAACTAGTATTTCTATAGGCCATCTGGAAGGACAGACACACAGGAGGAAGGCAGACATGGGAACATCCGTGTTTCGGGGCACCGCACGTGGGCGGGGCTTGGGGCTTGTTTCAGTACAATGCCAATCAGTGAGGAGACAAAGGAACTTGGACCCCTACTTCAGACCACAAGCAAGAGTTCACCCAAGAAGGATCATAGGCTTAAATGTGAATGCTAGGGCCGGCCGAGTGGCGCGATGGTTAAAAACTGGCTTGGGACGCCAGAGGGCCCCGGTTCGGATCCCACATATGAGGGCCAGTGACACTGCCCTCTACAGCTAAGATGCTGAACAACAGCTCAACCTGGAGCTGGGCTGCCGTGAGTTGCAGGCGACGGAGTAGGCTGCAGCCCCTGTGGCAGTGGGTTGCCATGGGCTACCGTATGTAGCCAGCAGCCAGCGTGAGCGGCCAGCAGCCACCGTGAGCGGCCGTCCAGAAGCCAGCGACCGATCTGCCTTGCCCGGGAAGAGCGCAATGATGGTGCCAACTTGGGCCAGTGAAGCAATGTCCTCCACAACTAGACTGAAGAACAAAAGGACAGCAACTTGTCTGTTCCCCTTCCCCCAATTCCCCAGCACTGTTCCCCTTCCCCCAATTCCCCAATAAAAATCTTAAAAAAAAAAAAGTGAATGCTAAAACGGTCAACTTTTTAGAAGAAAACATGACCTCGGAGTAGGCAAATATTTCTTAAGCAGAACACAAACAGCACTGCTCACAGAAGTAAAGATTGGTGCATTACCCAGCATTCAAAAGCCAGCCCCAGACGGTGAGAAGTGTCCTAGAGAAGAACGCATCCATAATATGTAAAGAACGCCAGCAAATCAATAAAAAGACAAACTGACACAAAAGTGGGCAAAGCCTCCAAGAGGCACTTCACAGAAGAGTGCAGCAGTGGCCACGAAGGTGGGAGAGACACTCGGCCTCCAGCGTCTCCGGGAAGGGCACACACACCAGCATGGCTGCAATGGGGAAGACAGGCCCAGCAGGGGCCACAGAGCAGAGCCCTCTCAGAGAGGCTGCTGAGTGCAGATGGGGACGGCCGCCATGGGAACTGGCCTCATCTGCAACGCGGCGTCCACCCACCCTCTAAGGTGGCCATTTCACAGAAACAAAAGTTCTGGCCACTCAGCGACACGCTCAGCGGAGACTAAAAAGAACCCCAATGTCCCCGGAGTGAAAGAGACAAACTGGTATATCCACACAGTGGGCATGACAGAGCCAGGGTCTTTAAAAGGGCGAGCTACCCGCCTACACATGGCGGCCAGGAACCACCACAGACGAGGCGGCTTGAAGAACGGAAGACGATTTTGGTATAGTTCTGGAAGCCGGAAGGCCAAGTCAAGGTGCCAGCAGGCGGTTGGGGGGGGGGGGCCCTCCCTGGCTTGCAGACTAGATGGCACCTCTCGCTGTGCTCACGTGGTCTTTCCTCTGTGCAATGACAGAGAGCTCTGGTGTCCCCTCTTCTTACAAGGACACCAGTCCCCTCGGGTTAGGGCCGAACCCTAATGGCCTCATTTAAACTTAACTACCTCTGGAAAGGCCCCACCTCCAAATACAGCCATACTGGAGGTCGGGGCTTCAGTCCACAACAAAAATTTTAAATGTAAAACTTGAAGCCATACCTCTAGAAGAAAATATAATTGAACTCATATAATCTTGGGGCAGAAGGCTGTTCTAAGCAAATCAATACACTGTCTTAAGAGAATGATAGATTTACACAGAAAAGTAAAAATTCTGTTAAAAATCCTCACAAACAAAACTGAAAGGCAAAGTTAAAATTGAAAAAATTGTAGTCTGTGATAAAAGGTGACACACTGGATATCTAAAGAGTTTTGCAAACATGTAAGAAACAGGGCAGAGGCAAATGAACAGTAAGTATAAAAAATGGTGAACTTGACAAAGAACATGAATAAAATTGAAATTAAACTGGATAGCATTCTCCTCTACTCAGTTCCTGGCAGCTAACACTGAGAGGGGCATGGGAAGCTGCAAACCAACGCTGCAGTGGGTGCCCACTCCCCAAAACCATGCCGCTCCGACAGCCAGGCCATAGACGGGCTATCCTGGATGAACGCCTCTCAATGGGGCAGGCAAAGGAACAACAATGAGGAGATTTCAACTGGAGGCCCGATGTGGGGCCTGACCGGTGTCACCTCCTCCAAGAAGCCTTCCAGGCTGCAGATGCCAGAGGGCAGAGGACATGTGTGGGAGGGAGGAGATGGAGGCGCAGAGGGGTCAGAGCTGGTGCTCTAATGCTCCTGTGTATGACACACAGCAGGGACCTTGCTAGCACCTGCTGGCACCTACTGGGCTGAGGACCGTCCAGGTGGAAAGAGCTCAGATAGGGCCTGGCCCCAAGTAGGCGCTGAAGGTGGGGTGGGTGAGCGCTGCGGTGAGAGGTGCTCTTCTTCAGGGAACCTGCAGGCACAGGGGTGCAGGCATCACTCCCAGAGCCAGAGCCCAGCAGCGCCTGCAGAGCCGACCCCACCCAGCCCCGCCCACCCGTGCACACCCCCATGCGAGAGGCCTGGGAAGAGCTGGGCGGGGCCTCCGGGGGGCGGGGTTGGGAACAGCCTGGAACCCCGCCCACCCCGCCCCACCGCCAGAGGAGCCCGGCTGGCAGAGGGGACAGAGGCCCGGTCATAATTTATGCTCCCCCGCCTATGCTTTATAGCTTTCTTAATTCGGCTCCTGCTACTATTAATGTAGTTAATGCTGAGATTATATCTATTTTCTGGCGTCAGGCGGTGATTTATTCAAGCCATTTTTCCGGTGGAGGCTCCCACGCTGTTAAATCAAGCGCCTTGCCAATTAAGTGCTGACTTGGGAAGTGCACGCAATCTTAACAGACATCTAACCGCAAATTAAACCGGGGCTCCTTACTCTGGGGAGTGGGCGGGGCAGCCATGGAACCTTGCTGACTTGGAGGAAAGTCAGGGGAAAAGCACAAGGCTCTCACTGGCCTGGTCTGTGGGCTCTGGTGGTGCTCAGCGTGAGGTCCCCTCCGGGTCCACCTGGCGGCTGTGACTGCCCTGCCAGCAGAGCGTGGAGCAGAGGAAAGCACGCAGGGGTCACTTGGCCTGTCCCCACCAGAGCTGCCACCCACCTGGGGACAAAACGTTTAAAACAAAACACCCCTCAGACAACCCCACTGACTCCTGAACCGTCCACCAATTTGCACATGAAGTGGCTGGCGAGACCCTCTGAAGCCTGTCAGCAACACTGATCCCAGGGTGGTGAGGAAGGGACCCCCTGAAGGAGGAGTGTGGAGGAGGGGCTCAGCCAGCCCGACCTCTGAGGGGACACAGTGGCAGGCATGGGGGAGGCAAGCACAAAAGGGCAAACCCAGAACCACAGCAGGGGAAGGACACCCCCCAGGGCCCAGCACCTCCTCGGGAGCCTCTACACCCCATGGGAGCCTCCTGGCCAGAGAACCAGTGAATGACACAGAGCCGGGCAGATGCCAGCACCCCACAGTGGGGCCCTGGGATGAGGCGGTGGCCAGTGGCCTGAAAAAGCACCTGGTTGTGGGAGCCCTTTGACCATGGTCCTCAGTGGCTATGAGACCCCCAGACCCTGCAGCCAACACGGGAGCCCCCTAGATGCCTGGGGCAAGGCCTCTGCCACCGTCTGCAGGGGAATGAAGTTTTTGGGGATGATCAGGCTGGAAGGTCAATACATGTAAAGAGTTACATATGCTATTGATCATCTACATGCTCTTCACTAGTGCCTTTAAAAGCAGGATAAGTGGAATTTAAAAATGGTGTTTGAGTGTGGAAGGCACCCAGGTACCACTGGGTGACAAGGACATTTTGTTTCTTCCTGTCAGGGGCAGTATTTTCAGCTTCCTCTGCTCGTCATTTCCAGGGACATCCAGGGACACGACGTGGACACACGAGGGCCCACGGTGCTGGCCAGGTGTGGCCAGGGGCTCAGGTTCAACCCGAGGGCACTCTCCCACGGGCTCCACAGGGGAAACCTAATGGACCCTACGAGACTC